GCACCCTGTCAATAGCTAGGTCTTTTACAATATACATGTTTTGTGAATAGTGTTACTACGGAGATTAGCAGTGTTGTTAATGGTTAATGAAAACAATATGATATAAGTTACACTTGTCTTCGTTTTCACTTTCTCAAAAGGATTGTGTACAACCAGTATATAGCCGTAATAAATTGATTGTAAGACTTTCTATCTCTCCGGCCTCAATAACAACATCCAGCCTCACATAATACTTCTGTTGTTCTTGCATAAACCCAATAGGTAAAGAAAGTAGTTATTTAAGTTGCTTTTGTTGTCTTGACACAATCAAACATTTACGGACAACACATTCGTAGTAGTTCATGCAATACACACATTTTAGGAAAAACATAGCGCCTCATACCTTACATCATAAAATTTGATGGAAATTTAATCGTTTAAAATATTTGGTAAACACAACAAAAATAACAATTACCATTCAGAAATGTATATTAAAACAATCAAGAACCAAAAATAAACGCATAAAATATATTAAATACGAGTGTTTTATATATTTGTTTACAATATATTTGTCTGTTTAGGGTGTACCGTTAGAACTCCATAACGAGCACGTGTTGTTGATGTTGACGTTTTTTAATATCCGGGTTCTGGTCGAGATGGACCAATGATAAGCTTCCCAGTCGCTACTATGACGTCATGTTTATGACAAGCTTCTCCAACATGGCGGAGAAGGGTCCACAAGTGAAATTGGGCATTATATTTTAGGTGAAACACTTGGTGTTGGCACCTTTGGCAAAGTAAAAAGTGAGCATTTGATGCAAACTTCTTGGACAGGCAAGCATTTTTGAAAATTTTATAGAATTTTGTGTCTTTTCATAGTTTGATGGGTTGAAACCTCCAGTTGTGAAAAAAACCCACCATCATAATTTGGGACATCAACCAGTCCCCAAACTACATGTGTTACAACCTTGTTTTGACACACCATTTGTGCATGCATTTTCGCATGTTTCAAAAAGTAACCTCACTCAATAGTTTCAACAGACAACTGCTGTTCCATGAACAAATTTAATCACAATTATAACAAAACATTAAGGAACACATATTCAAAATTACAATGCTGAAAACTGTCCCCTGAATTTTTAAATATGCCAGGAAACAGACCACGGTCAGCTCATGAAGGCGATTCTGAAACAGAATGAATCCATACAATGGCAGGATCAAATAATTTCACCAGTTTTTATGCTTTCTTTATCTCCGATTTAAAGAATGTGAATTTCCATTTAATTATTTGATATGACCACTGTTTTTAAAGCTTCCAAACAAAGTGTTATACCTAAGTTGAACTCTCTCATGCAATGTCCTCCCAGCAATACATCTGGTCAGCAAGGTTCACTGAAAACACTTCTTAGGCAATGTCCTCCCAGCAATACATCTGGTCAGCAAGGTTCACTGAAAACACTTCTTAGGCAATGTCCTCCCAGCAATACATCTGGTCAGCAAGGTTCACTGAAAACACTTCTTAGGCAATGTCCTCCCAGCAATACATCTGGTCAGCAAGGTTCACTGAAAACACTTCTTAGGCAATGTCCTCCCAGCAATACATCTGGTCAGCAAGGTTCACTGAAAACACTTCTTAGGCAATGTCCTCCCAGCAATACATCTGGTCAGCAAGGTTCACTGAAAACACTTCTTAGGCAATGTCCTCCCAGCAACACATCTGGTCAGCAAGGTTCACTGAAAACACTTCTCATGCAATATCCTCCCAGCAACACATCTGGTCAGCAAGGTTCACTGAAAACACTTCTCATGCAATGTCCTCCCAGCAATACATCTGGTCAGCAAGGTTCACTGAAATACAGAAAATAACATATTGAGTTCATCAACCACAAGAAAAATGATGACTTGCATGAGAAATACTTTCCGCTTCAAATACTTTAAACAATATTCATCTCAGGAAAGAGTTATGACCAACATTAATGATATATAGCAGTAAATGGTGTGCATGCTATTTTCTATGCCATGGAATCGTGTATGCTAGTCTTAATATGATAACTAATGAAAGAAAATATACTAACTTATGACTAAGGACTAAATATAGTAAAAGGATACCTTATGATTCACATATAATTATGATAAGTTATTTGCACAATAATTGAAATGTTTCATTCTGTAAAACAATAAAGAAATAACTGAAGTAAAGGTTAGTAAGGAAATGGAACAATAAAGAAATAACTGAAGTAAAGGTTAGTAAGGAAATGGAACAATAAAGAAATAACTGAAGTAAAGGTTAGTAAGGAAATGGAACAATAAACAATCTGTGAAGAAAATGTCAGTAATTAGTAAGGAAATGAAACAAGAAATAAATAACTGAAGTAAATGTTAGTGATTTCAAAATTACATGTATATTAAACTGGAAAACAAATAGTTAGGTAATATTATGATAACCAGGAACAAAAAGAAATATGCAGTTCACTCATATCATGCAAATCACATGGAACATTTAAATTAGTTTTTTCATCATGCATGATTGGTGTCAACTGATTTGTTTCAGGTAAATAAACCAGCTCACGCATGAATCCCTGATCTGTTAGCCGGATCACAATGTTGCAGAAATACAGGGAAAGTCTGTCTCATAATGTTTCACAATCCATATTTACACGATCATCAAATCTCCGTATAAAGCAGCTTCATAATCCAGCAGCACAGTCATACACATTTGTCTCAGAGCATCGTATCATGATGATCAAATCTTCAGCGCAAGTACCACATAGAGAGCATCACCATATCCTGGCACCACAAGGGGTATCCTGGCACCGTAGAGATGACATTGCCTTGGTACATGTTTCCATCTGAAAACTTGTAATCAACTCTTGCCAACAACTAATGGTTGATTTGGTAGCACTGTACCTTCAGTCAGTGGTCCCCTGTATGCCTCCTTGACAAGTTCTTGTAGATTGAATTGGAGCTTTTCAAGGGTGAACTGTCTCACTTTTCCTGGGTTATTTTAGCCGCTGAAGGAAAAAACATTGGGGATGCTTGATTTCTGAAGAAGAACTTTCTTTCTGAAGTTGAGTTGGGTTTGAAGGGCTTTTCTCTTTTCAGATGCTGTCCTTATTTCTGCCAATTTTGTCTCAACTTCAGTCTAGATTGCCAAAGCCCATAATAGGCAATCAAGTTTGTTAGGTTTTCTTCTCTCTTCATTTTTTCTTCTCTTGCTGTTCTAATGGCATCTGCTTTTTCTCTCAGTTTCTGTTCCCGTCCTCATTTGATATCTTCCAGTCTCCGCTTGAAAGTTAAGCAGGTTTTGCTGTGTGTTCTGGAATCATCAAGGAGTTTGTTCTTTTCTTCTTCAGGTAAGGATTTCAGCCATTGTCCAGTTTTATTGAAAGAATACATGAGGAATGACTCATTGCAAAGGGTTGAGGCATTTGGGCGATAATGAATAAGAAAATCCACCTGCCGAGAATTCCGGTAATTTGTTGTGCTTCTTTAATGAAAAGGTTTTGACTTCAGTTCATCAGTGAAAGAAGCATACTTGCCTCCTGGAAGTTGATCAGCAAGTTGGCGTTTAAGCAGAGTAAGCATGCTTTCACACACAACCTGTACGACATCAGATGTAAGACCATCCACATCACGTGGGCGTGTGAGTTCCCTGTGGATGTTGTCCTTTTCTGCAACTGTTGTGTCAAATGGCGTTACCTTTCCAGTCACAAAGTCCATGGCTACTGCATTGTCACCTTTTATACTCTCAAGGAATGTGCAGAGATCCAAGTATTGCTTGTTCATTTCCAGGATGTGTAGACCACCTTCAATGAATCGCCAAAGTGGAGCTATTATCTGTTTGGATATGAGACCAAATGCACGACATCCTGCGAGACAGACTTCATTTTTGATATCACTTCCAATCTGTTGCAACAGCCTGTTGGTAACTCCATGGACATGTTCTAGGAAATTGATAATTCTTTGCTGATGGTAATAAACAAAAAACAAAAAAACAACCTGCGAGATGACTTCACTCACTTTACCAGCTGCAACATTGCAACTAGTTATATTCATCACACATTCAACCATTTTGGTGTTAAAACAGTTCTTTTCATCATCATAAGTCTCAATGACTTTGGCGTCCTCTACAAGGCTTTGTAAATACCTGTTCTAATCTGTTAACAGGTTAATTTGCTCCAAGTCTTCCTTCTTTGTATCAAGGGCTGCTTTCACTTCTTCCTGTGTATCAGTGATTAGACTTCACACTTTGTCAAGCTCCTCTGTGAGGCGCTCTGCTCTCATGGATTGTATTTTCAGCTGTTCTTCAGTTGTTTTCAGCTTCTTAATAAGATTCTTATTTGTCACATTTGTTCACTGAAGGTTTTGCTTCTTGATTTGGAGGTTCCTTCTACATCCTGCTAACTGACTGCTGACGTGTTTTAAAACACATGCTTTTTTGGCAGACTTTTCCTCCTTAATGTCTCTTCTTTCAAGTTTTCGCTTAAGTTGTTTCCTTTCCTCTTTAACTTCAGATAACTCTCTTCTCTTGGAATCAAATTGAGACTCTCGTTTGCTGAGGGCTGCCTGACACTCGGTTAACTCATGCGCCAAGATTGTTCTTACATCTTGCTCATGTTTTGATGTGGGTACTACTGTTGAGTTTGGGATTATAAATCTCTCCTGTAAAAACTTCATTTTGCCTTCTCCTCTCTGTTTCTTCACTTGATTTATAGTTCTCTGAATTTTTTATTTCACTCTATTTACGTTCACTGTTGTCACAGGAATGTTGAAGATGCCAGAAATCCATAATACAAGACGTACGATGGAGTCACCCGGCACAAGTTGCTTGGATTTTGTATGAAGATCTAGCATAAATTCATTTGTACAGATGTTTCTGCTATGACAGGTAGTGTATTATTCAGGAGTGAAGCATCAGTTAAACCATGTTTCAACAATGTATCCATGGCAAAGTCTATAGTTTGTAAGTAACTACGTCATGGATGAGCTGCTGAGTATGTTCCTGTATTGAGACTTGGTCAGCTTGTGAACAGTTGATCCATCTGATACTGCAGTAATTCGTCTGTGCCAACTCATCTTCGATCTTCTCACGTTCAACCTCAGCTATGGCAATCACGAACTGCTTGTATGACGTAGGATTTCTGTAAGCATATCCTATATCCACACCAAGTTCATCTTCCAAACCACACATCCACTCAAAATCAGAATAGGCCTTGACTTTTTAGCACTACTGTGTGCTACTCTAAAAAGTTCATCCAGCCTTTCAAAGTTTTAAAAAAATATTCCACTGCGCTGCACTTTGCAATGTGTGACTTTTCATATTGAACAGAATAATTATGTCCATCTGATTTCTTGTGCGTACATAGCCGGGCGTTCTTGGTTGATGTCCAGCCACTGAGCTTCTGGTCATGACATAGGCAGTGAAGAATTTCTTTTCCATAGGAATGATAAATTTTATTGGTAGTCAAAGTTGGGAGGAATGCCGAAGAAGAGAGAAACTCCCTCCTGTAAGAGTTCATGCAGAATTGTATATATAATTTAAGCCAAATACTTTGCATGGCTGTAGGACATGGTTGAATTCTTCAAAACATTCCTTGAAGTAACCTTCCGTAATTGTTGACACCATGGACCCAGTATCAAGGAGTTATTTTCCTATTACCAACTTTAATATCCAACTTTAATATCAAGCAAAGGGCATTCTCCTATTGTTCGTTCCTTTAATGAGTTGTTTAACCCCCTCCCTGCCACATGGCTCAGTGTAGTGACGGAACCAAGTTTCCCGAATCTCCTGTGTTAGATCCCTTGGTAGCTTGTTTACACTCTGGTAATGACCCAGTTGCTGACACTTGTAGCATTCTATTTTAGATTTGTCCTCTTTTTCTTCCATGCTAATCTCAGTAGTTTAACCTCCTCAGTAAGGGCTTTAAGGAGATGTGCAGTCTCCTCTGACAGTGAAGAAGTTGCTTCAACCTTACAGCTAGCCATGACCGATTCTGCAGTACGCCCGATATCGCTCCATTAGACATCCATACCACAGTTTCTGGCCAAATGTCCTGGTTGAGCACACCGATAACAACTACACTGACCTTGACCCCTTCCACGACCTCATCCGAAGTGTTGATATGGAACGTCACTATTCTGATGACCTGGTTTAAGTTGTTCATGTCTCATGTTCTGTACGGCCAATCTCAGTTCCTGTATTTGGTGAGATAGAGCTGAGACGTCACTCTGAACTTGTTGAACTCTGTCAGTTTCTATGTTGTTAACGCTAGCGGCTTCTTTGCGGATATAAGTGCTGCTTGGGGTATCTCAGGGTTCCCTGCACGTACATAAAAGCAGGCTTTTCCGGGAGACAGCCAACAAATTTGGTGCTTGATAACGACATTAGAATGTCGAAATAAAAATAGCCTTCATTCTTCTTGTGAAACAACGTTGATAATGTCCGACATCATTTATTCATATATAGTAGAAACACAATGTAGTAAGATTCTTCATGATATCCTAACAAACATGATGCAGGTAAGTTCACGGCGAAGATCAACACACATCGGCATGTTCTTGAAATTTCAAACACGTGCCTGTTCCTTGACCTTGCGACTCTAATATGAATCGGTATAATGCAAACAGTCAATTAGTGACTTGTGATATCTGTACTGTTTGGGCTATGACTACTTGGGCTAACGATCGCAAATCTCACAGTCGTAACAACACAGACTTCTCGTTGATATTTCCACAAAATCAGTAGGAGGAATCGAATGCATCGAATCTTGGGGCAGCCATCTTGCCCTTGATGCTGTTGGTTGGGGCTCATCTAATTCAGTGAAGTGCAAACTCTACAAAACACAAATGAAGA